GTCAATATTTTCCTATGAGAGTGGTTCTTAAGTCAAAATGTTCTTAACTCAAGCCGTTCTTAAGTCAAGACCCCACTTGTAGTTCAACATTCTGGGGAATTCCGAGAGTTTTTGTTCAAAATTCTGGGGGATTCTGGCAGTTGTAGTCCACACACCCCCAACAGCTGTGTTGGTTACCTGCTTTCGCACTCAGACTAAGCGATACCACAAGGTGCTTGTGATGGCCAATGATGCTGGGAACGTAACACACATTTTCCCCCCTCAACCTCCTGGGAGGAAGATCATGTCTTTGAGGTTTCAAAAGGGAAAGGGGTGTTCCAGCGCACCCCACCCGTCACTGCGGGTGCTCCGTCATGGGGGTTCAACCGCCTCCTTCCTCCGAGCCACCACCTTCTGAACGTCTTCCCTGCCTCGCTTCATTTCTTCGTCCTGTGGGTCATGGAAAGACCCAAGCCAAGGGAGCGGTCAGCGTCAAGATACGGCATTCCTTCCATTGGGGGAAAACTTCTGTTTGATTTCTCACCATTTCCATGGAAAAAATAACAGGACACACCTTGCTCACCTAGACAGCCGGTCTACAGAGTGAGTACTTTTCCATCCATTGAAATAACCCTCTTGGCACCTCTGAGGTCATTGGTGGCCACAGAGTTGAAACCTGCAAAACTCTGGCCCCAGTCCGGCTACTAGCCCAGAATATTCTAAAGTAACTAAAAGGCAACTAAATTACTTCGGTCCAAGGCATTGGCCATGTGGAGTAGTGGTTAAACTGCAGTACTGCAGCCAAGACTCTGCTCACCACCTGAGTTTGATCCAGTCCAAGGTGTTGGCCATGTGGAGTAGTGGTTAAACTGCGGTACTGCAGCCAAGACTCTGCTCACCACCTGAGTTTGATCCCGATAGGTAGCCGGCTCAAGGATGACTCAGCCTTCCATTCTTCTAAGGTTGGTAAACTGAGGAGCCAGCTTGTGGAGTGGGGGGAAAATATGTAGCCCACATAATTATTAAATAAATAAATACATTGTAAACCGCCTAGAGAGAGTTTTAAGCACTATGGGGTGGTATATAAGCAGCATACTTTGCTTTTTGCTTTGGTTTTAAATTGTAACTATAGTTACAACAACTAATTACTTTGCGGACCACAACTGAGACCTTCTCTTGAGAAACTCTACATTGCTTCTATCGCGTCTTTTTTTTTTAAAAAGGATTCTTAGGCTGCATCTGACCAAATTTATTTATTTATTTATTCTATTGTTCTCTTGAGAAACTCTACGTTGCTTCTATCTCGTCTTTTCTTTTTAAAGGATTGTTAGGCTGCATCTGACCAAATTGATTTATTTATTTATTCTATTTGTACCCCGCCTGACTGGTCAAAACGACCAAATGGAGCTAAAGGCTACTTCTCCAGCCAGGTGGGAGACTGGTCGGGTGGTTCGTCTGAGTTAGGGTTATGATCACCGTCCTCTTTCTTGCTGGTCTGCTCATGGCCTTCCCCTCCTTCTGTCCACTCATCTGTCCAGCGGCCACCTGCCGGCCCCCACCTGGCCCTTCCCTTCTCACCTGCCCCCTTGTCCTGTTCAAGCCAGCCTGGCCGGTGGGCCCGTGAGCTCTGGCCCATCCCCTTCTCCTCCTCCTCCTCCCCCCATGGGGCTGGCAGGGTTTCTATAAGCAGGCGGACTCTCACAGAGTGCCTGGATTCGACCATGACGCTGTGGAACTGCAGGAAGCCGGCGGGCAAAGATGGGACGGAGATGGAGTCGGGCCCCAAAGGCCAGCCCCCCAAGAACAGGGCCGAGAAGGAACTGCTGGAGCACCCCTTTGGGAAGAGCTTTGGGAAGCGGGAGCCCCGGGGGGCACGGTGTGCCCAGAGGTGCCTGGGGGCTTTGAAGGGTAAGAGAGAATTGGGGGCTGGTGGATGAGAGGGAGGGGTGCCTGGGGGTGGAGAAGGGAAAGATCCGGTGCAGCATTGGTGAAACTGCGGTGCTGGTGCAAAGCGGAAGTGAAGGTCACCCACGCCGGCCTCTTTTCACACACACACAAAATGATGTCTGGAGTGGCACAGGGAGGTTTCGCAAACCATGTGAACCGGTCACCAGAGCAGCTCTTTCTCTGGGTGACCTCTCTGTGGGGGAAAAAACCCAGAGAAGATCTTTTCTTTCTGGTTTGGACCACAACGCCCAGAATCCCCAGCCAGCATCGTTGCTGGTTTAGCACCCACGCTCAGCACACGAGTCTAGAAATTGTCCTTTGAAAGGTAAAATTTTCCAGGCCGTATCGTGTGGCTTCAGGGCTTGACCTCGGGAGGGTTCGGCTTGAGATGGGCCTGACCCCTCTGTTTTTCCTGCTCCCCTCACCCGCCCGCCCCGTCCCCAGGCCTGGGTCTCTCCATCCGCACCCGGATCTCCCACTTTGGTGAAGACTGGATCTTCCTTTTCCTGCTGGGCATCGCGATGGCAACCCTCAGCTTCGGCTTGGACATCATCGTCTCCAAATTCCAGCAAGGTGGTGAAAGCGTTTTGTGGGTCTTCCTCCTTATTGTTACTATTATTATTATTATTTACTGCAACAGGCTGTGCTGAAGTTATGAATGTCGGCGAGTTTGCCAGCTGGTGCCTTTTTCCGTTTACTTTCCTCGACGGGACTCTTCCCTCGGCCACGCTGTGCGCCCAGAGCCACTGACCGGGATCATGGCTCGTCAAAACACACCATGGAGGGGAAGGGGTGGGGGTGGGGATAAGAGAAAGTCTTTTAGGAATCATCAATACGTTTAAATAAAACAGAATTAATACAAGAAGGAAAGGATGACTTCGCTTTTCTCTCTCTTCCTCTCCTGCATCATCGTGTGACTCTTTTTTTACCTTGGAAGTCTTGGGCCTGAGTAATGATCGTGTGCTGATCGTGTGTTGCTTCCAACCCCGTTTCCAGCCAAAAAGTTATTTCCCTTCCTGCCCTCTTTTCCTCATGTATTTCATCTTGAATGATCAGCTGTAACGATCAGCAAATTTTTCTTTCTTTCTTATCAAGCGATTGAAGTATTCTAACGTTCTGTATTTTATGTGTTTTGTGATTTCTTCCTCTCGATTTCCTCAAGTTAGTGCTCCGGGGTCAGTCACAAACTCCATCCAAGGAATTCTGAATGTCCTGCCATGAATACATGCTTAAAAGGCATCTACCTTTTTTTAATTGTTTGCGTTAAATTGCCATTCCGTGCCAGATAGAAACATGTGTCCTCCAAGCCAACTTTATGTTGTTCTTCCATGTTCAATCTTCATCTGAAAGGAAGCTACACCAAGCAATACGTGTATTCAGCATTCCAGGGAAATCCTTAAAGGGTAACACAGAGAGAGAGAGTGAGGGGGGGAACACCAAAGATTAACTGAGCTCGTGGTACAGAGATCAAATCCACCAGTGGATGAAATCCGTGAACGGCCGTGGTCCTTGACTCCTGTTTCTCCTGCGTCCGAGTAGCCAACCTGTGGGTTTATGACGAGCTGGCAGACTACCGCTACCTGCAGTATGTCTCTTGGGTCCTCTACCACATGGTTTTGATGATGGTGTCGGCAGCTGCGGCCAAATACATCTCTCCCCAAGCAGCCGGTGAGTGGACCACCTGGATCTCGGTAGCTTTCTTTGTGGATAGAGGAGGGTGGACAGACTTTTTTTTGGGGGGGGTCAAGGACATTCTGGGCCTCTGAGTGGGAGAGAGGCTTCATCAGCTGTTGCACCCTTCTGCAGCTCTGATTCATGTCAAAGAGATATCGCACAAGAAAAATTCCTGCTGGATCACGTCTTAGAGAGATTAAGGGCTTTGCTAAGTGGGAGACTGGTTCCATCTTTTCCGTCCTTACCACATTTCTCAGCCACATGCACTTCTTTGTTATGTGCTCGTGCTTTAACACTTTGAATGTGCTTTCACAGTTGTATCTTTTTAACCACCTGAGGGAGCACTGCTTTTAGATACAGGATCATGATTTCTTTCACCGAGATCCTCATTAGATTGCAAAGGGCGAGTCACCTCAAGATTGGCATCTCTCTCCTCCCCCCCCCCCCCCGCCACCCCATGGTCCCTCTTCTTCTCCCCTCACACAGGTTCTGGGATCCCTGAACTGAAAGTGGCCCTGCGGGGTGTCGTGCTACATGAATTCTTCACTTTCTGGACCTTCGCGGCAAAGTTGGTGGGAGTGATTTGCACCTTAGCAGCAGGAAGCACCGTCTTTCTAGGGAAAATGGTGAGCTCAAGAGCTGGCCGTTGTATTCGGCTGCTTCTTCTGGACTAGACATGTGCTTTATTAATGGGACAATTAAAAATCTGGCCTCATGCAGACTAGGATATTTAGTTATTTTAATTTTTTTTTTCTAAAACCCTTTCTTTTGGAAATGACCCAAGGTGGAAAGAGCCATTCTCTTGCCTTTCTGACATACAGTACTTTTATTACCATACTGATTTCCCCTCCCCCCGTCATTATAAAGTAATTTTTAAATGACATTTGGAGGCATTTTTAGAGATGTTTCCAAGGTATTTTTCAAGCTTGGTGCCATTCTTTTACCAGTCCTGAAGTTTTCATTTTAAAAGAGAGAGTGAGAGAGAAAGAAGCAAGCCCATGACAGTGCATCACAAGTGATGGGAACAAATCGCTTTTCAAAAGTAAGCTGCCACACTTTGCTGGTTTTTATTTGGGTGTACCCTTCATGGATTGTAAGTATGCTGCGCCTCTTTCTTCCTCTCTCCTCCTTTCTCTGGGGAGTAAGGTCACCTCAAAGCACGCTGTGCCCCTCCCAGTAACCTTCACCCTTCTCTCCCCTCAACAGGGTCCCTTCGTGCAAGGAACAAATCGCTTTTCAAAAGTAAGCTGCCACACTTTGCTGGTTTTTATTTGGGTGTACCCTTCATGGATTGTAAGTATGCTGCGCCTCTTTCTTCCTCTCTCCTCCTTTCTCTGGGGAGTAAGGTCACCTCAAAGCACGCTGTGCCCCTCCCAGTAACCTTCACCCTTCTCTCCCCTCAACAGGGTCCCTTCGTCCACATGGCCACGATCCTGGCCATTCTGCTCGGCAAAGCTATGGTCAGATTCTCCGTTTCTACCGAGGTGAGCGTGGCTGCTCCAGCAACTGGCAAAGACGGGCCCTCCCCACCGATGGATCGGGCCCCTTTTGAAAAGCACCTGACGGCAGTCTCTCTCTCCTTCCTTCTCTCCAGAACCCGGGGCGCAAATACGAGCTTCTGAGTGCAGGGGTGGCCGTGGGTGTGGCGTGTTGTTTCGTGGCTCCTGTCGGAGGTAAACAGAAACACCCGTGCTGGCTTGAACGGTCTCCTCCTTTGAACACCTGGGCAGGTTCCTTTTCTGGGACTACAACTCCCATAATTCCCTTGGCTGTGGCACTCTAGACTTTGCGCTCCCCATGAAAAGGAATCTGTCCACGCTCTGCTTCCATCATCCTGCCTGCTCACAAGTTAGGGATGAACTGTACTGATAGATGACCCATCTTTAGAAGATGCGTTTTTTCGGTGCTGATGTTGGGTGATTGTCCCAAGATGAGCTTTTCTTACCTCTCCTTGTTTTCCGACTAGCTTTCTTTCTTTGGGGGGGGATGGCCTTTCGCACAGAAACACCCTTCTTTGGCTGTCGATCTGAATTCTCAGATGACTGTCAATCGGTCACGTAGAGTTTGGACCGCTCTGACATATCCTTGGGCCCAGCGGGAAAACCTTTCTTCTGCAGTCCATATTTTTTTTCCTCTTGCAGGGGTGCTGTTTGGGGTGGAGGTCACCGGCACCCACTTTGCTGTGCGCGATTACTGGAGGGGGTTCTTTGCCGCCACGTGCGCTGCCCTTGCCTTCCGCCTGCTGGCTGTGCTCAACCACACAAGAGGTGAGGGGGACAGAAAGAGGGGGCCGAACAGCAAGCGCAAGCCTGGCACAGCCGCGTGCCCTTCCCGGGAGAGTAAGAAACTAGGCAGGGGGTACATTTCCTGCCTCCTTGCCCCCTGCTCCTGGCGAGCAGCATCTCCTTCCCTGGGATCCCATCGTTACCTGGCTCTGACCGGCCCCACCTGGCCCTCTTCACCTTTTCCCCATCTCTTGCTTTCTTGGCTTGGGGTTCCAGACTCCACCACCCAGGAAGCCGCTCAACCAAAGGGGCCAGAGGTTCCTGTTCCGTTGTGTCCGACGTCTGTGCCGTCTCCTCTCGTCCTCTCTCTCTCTCTCTCCAGAAACCGTGGCCGTTCTATTCCACACCGGCTGGCGCGTGGAGTTCCCCTACGACCTCCCTGAGTTGCTTTCCTATGCCATTCTGGGGTGAGTGCCAAGGAAGGAGCCCAGGGACTGCCATGAGGGTGGGGGCTCTTGCGATGGCAGAGGGTTCTGCCCACGGACTCGGGCTTCGTCTCCTCTGCTCAGTCCTTCCGAAGGTTCGGAAATGTCACAGAACCCTTGGAACTGCATCCTGAAAAGTCAAGGTTCCGTCGTCTACCCCTTGTGAAGGGACGTGTTTGGCGCTGTGAGTTAAACCGCAGAAGCCTCTGTGCTGCAAGGTCAGAAGACCTGCCATCGTAAGATTGAATCTACGGGACGGAGGGAGCTCCCATCACTTGTCCCAGCTCCCGCTAACCTAGCCGTTCAAAAGCATGCAAAATGCAAAAATGTTAGTAGATTTTAGGTTCCACCTTGGTGGGAAGGTAAACGGCATTCTGTGTCTAGTCGCGCTGGCCACATGACCACGGAGGATTGTCTGTGGACAAAACGCTAGCTTTATGGGTTGGAAACGGAGATGAGCACCGCCCCCTAGAGTCGGACACGACTGGACAAAACTGTCAAGGGGAACCTTTACCCTTGCCTTACCCCTTGGGAAGGGACTGAGCTCTCTGAGATCCTACCATTCTCTACCAAGCCTGGCACTTGGCTGGTGACGGAGCATCAATGCAGATAGCAAATGACCCGAGCCTAGAAGTTGGGGCCACAACCGTCTGCTAGAGAACCCGGGGGTGTGTTCTTGTTTGACCTTTTTTAGATCTGCATTTGGATTGCTGGTTTTAGGCTTCTTCCTAAACTAGAAAGAGGCAGACTTTTGTGGCTTTTCCATCATGGCTGAGCACCCCTTATAAGCATCGAAGATATCTCTAAGGGCTTCTGTAACCAGGCTTATGGCTCTTCCTCCTGCACTATCGCCGGATGAAATCCCAGAATGTGTGAATTGCCTTAAGTTTGTCTTAAAAGAGAGCCTAAGAATGTAATGCGTTTCTCAGGTAGTTACTCTGGTTAAGCAGAGACAAGTTCAGGACACCTCTGCTAGCGTAAACGCCAAATATTCTTATGAAGGGAGGTTGGAAGGGGAGAGGGGTGGGTGGGTTTCACGTTGTTCTGTACGTTTCTCCCCCCCCACCCCTCCCCTACCCTCCCCTCTCCAGAGCACTTTGTGGAGGCCTGGGCTGGGTTTTTCTTTTCTGCCATCGGAACATCCTCGCATTCCTCCGGAACTGGCCAAGAATCAAACGCTTGACGGCGAACAAGTGAGATTCCTTCCCTTTCTGCGTGCCAAATTTGGGGGGGGGGGGAGGCTCTTCCAGGGACAGAAACTTAAACAGGAGCAAAAATCACAACCTGGAAGATTCTGTGACTTTGCTGGACCGGAACATGAGACTTTGAGACAAAATCCAAAGAAATAAAACAACCCCCCCCCAAAAAAATGTGGTGGGCACCTTAACGATGAATTATCATATTTTAATGTGAGCTTTTGTGGACACGTCCACTTTGTCAGATTGATGGAAAGAGAATGAAATGTAGAGTGGAAATATCAGTTTCAAAAGCAGAGCCTTCTAACTATTTGTTGTCTCTTGGGTGATGATGATACATCTCCATACCGTCATTTATGGCCTGTTTGTTTTAGGGGAGGCACTGTTGTAAACTTTCCTCCAGGAGACAGAAAACAGGCGCCAGGCCTGCTGGGCAAAGATGGGCCGGGGAGAGAGAAGGGGTGGGGTGGGGTCGAGGGGGACTTTGTTAAAAAAAGAGACTTTTGTCACCTTCAAGCCTTCTCAGTTGTTCCTCCTGAGCCTCAGATGACGCAGAGGAGAACTTCCAACCGACTGAGCCTCGTGCCTAATAAAGCTTGGTCGTCGTCAAGGGGTGCAAAAGAGTCTGGGTTGCGGTGGCCCTACCACGCCCAAAATCTCAGTCCACGCTGGGTTTGGACTTCCAGGACTCATCGTCCAAAAAAAGGGAACTTTTCCAAGGAAAGGAGAAAGAGTAGCTAGCAGGGCAAGGCTGGCTGCCAGGGGCGGTGGTGGTGATGGTGGTGATGGGGGGGGCTCTCCCCAGTGGTACAAAAATGTTTGCCCAACACACACATGCAAAACTCATTCTCTCTTCCTTCCCCAGCAAAATCCTGTATGCTGGCTTGGTCGCCCTTCTCCTGGCGAGCGTCACCTTCCCCCGGGGGTCTGGCCGGTACCTTGGCGCACGGGTGCGTATGGCGGGGGGCGAAGGGCTTGAGCTCAGGGGGGTCAGAGCCCCTGCCTGGCACCTCGAAGGTCCCGTGTCCAAATCCCCCCCCCAAGCAGGGTCTCCGGGTCAGGCTGGGCCTCCCGCCCACCTCCTGGAGAGTCACGGCCACTGGTATGTTTGGGGTTGCACAGGCGAGGGAGCTGAATGGGCCCAGGATCCGACCAGAGGCGGGGAAGAGCCCCTTAGGAGGGCTTTGAAATCGAGAGACCTGGCCCCCAAAAAGTGGCTGTGCTTGCTAGGGGGGATGCTGGGATTTGTAGTACAAAAAGAGAGAGAGAGAGAGAGAGAGAAACTTTTCCAAGCTCCAGACCTGGCGTGGTGGGAGGCAAAGTTCCATGTTCCTTTTCTGGTTTCCCTTGGGTTTTAAAGAGGAGGTCTCTCTGGGGCCTTGAGACCCGACCCTTCTTCTACGAGAAGGCCCCCTTCTTCAAGAGGGACCCTCTCTAGATAGGCTCAGAGGCACTCTTGCGGTCAACATCATCGCCAGCCTTTCAAAAGTGGAAGCTTGCCTGCCTGTCCTGTGAGCCAGATGTGGCTGCCGCGACTGCGTCTCTGTAGGGAAGGAGACATCGTGTTTGGGGAAACTGGTGGGTGTGGAGGGGGAGGGCTTGAGGCTGCCTTCTCTCCTCTCCAGGGGACCCCCCCCTGCCACTGCCGCTTTCCTCCCCCCTCTCCGGTCTCCCCCCTGTGACTCCACCGCCTCTTCTCCTGCCTTCCTCCAGTTCTCCATGAAGGAACTCCTGGAGACCTTTTTCCGCAACGGGAGCTGGAGCCTGGAAGGAGCCCCGATCCGCCCCAATGGCACCCGCCGGGCCCCCAACCTGACTGAGGACTTCAGCTGGCTCCAGTGGGGCCACCCGACGCTCTCCCCGCTGGAGATGGCCTCCCTCTTCCTCCTAGCAAAGGTGCTGACAGGGCGGGGAGGAGACCGGGGTGGCTACAGACCTTGGAGTTGGGGTAGAAGATGGTGGCATGGAGGGGCCCCCCAGACACTAGGGGTGGGCCTTGGAGCTGAACCTGGCCTTCCAGGGCTCCCCGGAGGGTCCCACAGCCCCCCCTTCCCTGGGTCACCTTCCTTGGGTGCTTTGTGTGTATTATGGGTGTTCTCCTCCTCAGCAGCGGAAATGCCTCTGCTGTGGCTCAGTTCCATCCCCAGCCGTCATGGGCAAACCCCTGTAGTCCCTTTCTCCCACTCCCCCACCTTTCCTTTTTGGCCCGGCACCCACCCCTGGGATCAGACCCCGGGCCACGGGTAAGCTTCCAGTGGCATCAGCATTGGCAGACCATGGCCAGCACTCAGAAGAGATGACTTACACCCTCACCCGCCTCGGGTTACTTTTCGGGAATCTCCCGGTAAGAGGATTTCTCTGGCTCTCTTGGAAGACTGGGCCATCGAAGAAGAAGGGGCATGCCCAGTGCAGCAATGAACCCCTTGCAAGATGGAGCAGCCAGAGCAACGTGCGCGCGCACACACACACACACACAGAGGGAGGGGGATTCTGGCTGGAAACGGAGTTGGATCTTAAGCCCACCCTCACGCCAACTAAACACTCCTTGTCTCCCTCTTTCTAAACAGTTTTTCATGGTCCTCCTGGCTACCAGCATGATTGTGCCGGCCGGCTATTTCCTCCCTGTCTTTGTTTACGGTAAGAACAGCCATATCCCCGGTCCTGCAGCTCCTCCTGCTCCCTTGCCAGAGGGGACCCCAATGGGCTGAGGGGAACCACCTTCCCAGCTGGCCGCTCTTCTCTTCTGATGGACCCACTGCCCTGCTTGGGATGCTGAGGCTTGAGCGCCTTTGAGGCTCCGAGCCAAGACTCTGGACCTGGTGAGAAGGGCAAATTACTGCATTTTTCTGTGTATAAGACGCCCCCACTTTTCTTATCCAAAATTAAGAAATCTAAGTAGGGATTAGCAAATATAGGGGGAAAGGGATCAAAGTGCTGCAGGATCGCTTTGATCCCTGCTTTCCCCTCCACTTGTTTTTCTTCTGGCCTTAGCTTACTTCTGTGTATAAGACGAGCCTCAATTTTTAGTCTAAAGATTTTAGACAAAAGTATAGTCTTATACACGGAAAAATACGGTACCTCCGGACATGTGCTGAGCTCCTCTGCCTTGCCATGGAGTGATTACCAAAGCTTTGATTGGCTTAGGATCTGGTTTTCTCCTTTTTGGGGGGTGCCTTTTCCCAGGCTGCTCCCCCTCCCAGGAGACACTGGTGCTAGCCAATCCCTCCTTGATGGGAGGCTGGGGGCTGTTCCAGTCCAGGCCAATCAACCTCCCAGGCCCTGGTCATTCTATCCAAGCTTTCTCCCACCCTGGGACCGAGGAGACCCGGATGGGGTCCACCTCTCTCTCTCGTGATGTGTGCTGGATCGAGCCCACGTATCTGGGCCACAGGCTGCCCTCTCTGGCTGCAAAATGCGTTGTGCCTGCAGGAGCAGCACTGGGCCGGCTGTACGGTGAGGCCATGGCCAAAATCTTCCCAGATGGCCTTGTCTCCGAGGGTGTCCGCCTGCAGATCACGCCAGCTGGCTATGCTCTGGCAGGTTAGTTAGCCCTTCTCTGGAATTGGGCAAATGGCTCTTTTGGATGACCGCAAACTGGCAGCAGAGTTCCTACAGCTGTTGTCCCCAACAACAAAATCCCCAACAACGATAGTTTCTCTAAGGTCTGTGGTATTTCCACTGAGCACCAGAGAATCACGGAATCATGGAGTGGGAAGGGGGCCTCAAAGGCCATATTTCTCCAAGGTCTGTGGTATTTCCACTGAGCACCACAGAATCACGGAATCATGGAGTGGAAAGGGGGCCCCAAAGGCCATCTAGTCCAAACCCACCCCCCCCGCTCAAGGCAGGAATCCCAATCCAAGCAGATCTGCCAGGGGATTGTTTAAGTTTCTCTTGAAGGCCTCCGGGATTGGAGCCCTCACCACCTCCCCCTGAGGTCACAGGTTCCGTTGTTATCCTGCTCTAGCTGCTAGGAAGTTTTTCCTGCTGCTCAACCAAAATCACCTCCCCCTGAGGTCACAGGTCCCATTGTTATCCTGCTCCAGTTGTTAGGAAGTTTTTCCTGCTGCTCAACCAAAATCGGGCTTCCTCTCACCTGAGCCCAGCGTCATGTGTCCTGCACCAAGAAGAGTGATGATGGGGAACAGTCTCCCTTCTTGCAGGTGCGGCGGCGTATTCTGGGGCCGTGACCCAGACCCTTTCGACGGCCCTGCTCACTTTTGAGCTGACGGGCCAAATGTCCCACATCCTGCCGGTCCTGCTCTCCGTGCTGGTGGCCAATGCCATCAGCCAGCGTGCGCAGCCTTCCTTCTTTGATGGCATCATCATCATCAAGAAGCTTCCCTTCCTGCCCAAGCTTTTCATGAGCAAAAGCAGGTGTGTGGGGCTTGGGGTGGGGGGGAGGAAAAAATTATCCAATTCAGAGGTCATGGTCAAGTGAATTCTGTGGCTCAATAAGGACTAGAACCCTGAATTCACAAATGCTTGTCTATAAAGCCCAGCCCTTCAACCATGACAGTGCTGGCACCGGTATTCGCTTGTTGTCTTATCTGCAAAACAGGTAAGAGTTTTCATTAGGAAAAGGCGTTTCAGAAAGAGATAAAAAGCAGGAAGGCTCGGAGCCTAGACTCCCAAGTCCTCTGTGGGAATGGCCTTCAGGGCTGCCGGAGTGGGGCAGGGTGGGACCCTTGTGCCAGGGTGGGACCCAATCACAGAGCGCAACATTTGCCCGGAGTTTCTGAGAGTCTGGCTCACAGGCCCCCCTCCTCTCGCCCCCCCCCCGTGCTCCAGGGGCCACGATTTCTACACAGAGGATTTTATGGTGACGAATCTCAAGTATCTGTGCCGGGAGACCCAATACAAACACCTCCGGTGGCTGCTGAAAACATCCAAGCTGAAGCAGTTCCCGCTGGTGGACTCCCGAGGTAACATTTCTTCACCGCGGGATGGGTGGCCCGTCTCAGGGAGTCGGTCGCCGGGAAGAGGGGCACGTCTCTCACTTGTTCGCTTGCTCTTTCTCACCTTCTCGTTCCCCCTTTTCCAAGCCTCCCGCGTCCTCTTGGGCTCCATCCGGAGGAAAGATCTCTCCAGACTTCTGTCGGAGCAGCTGAGCGCCGAGAAGAGGCTCCACTTTATGCTCAGTCGGTCAGAGGAGGTGATGAAAAGCCCCGAGCGTGTGAGTCTTCCTTCTCCTGGTCGGATGGACTGCGAGCCCCCAGGATGTGGGGCTGGCTCAGAGGAAGCCCGCTTCTTTCTGAGAGTTTTTTTTTTTTTAAAAAAAAGCAGTTCTGGACGAGAGGGTCTTTCTCGCATATTTTCCTCTTGCAGGCCCAAAGTGTCCCTGAAAGGCGAACGGAAGAATCAGGTGGGGACCCGGTTTCACTCAGAGCAGGGGGGATTGCAATGGGATCTCCTACCAACTCTCCCCCAGACTGAAGAAGCTGCTCGGATGAGCAGCAAAGCATTTCCACCTAACAAGAAAGGCTGTCCAGTCGCCGTGGCTCAACTTCCAGCTATGATGATGGAGACATGTTTTCTGTCTCGGGTTCCCGGGGGTAGCTCAGAGTTCCTGGAGAAGGAATGGCTCGAGAGTGGCTTAAGAGTTCCCCATTATTTTCTTTATAAGTTTCATTTTGATCCGCCTGGATTCTTTCTTGTGCAGAATCAGCCAAAGGAGCCGCTCCTCACACCTTGCTGACAGAGGCAGAGGAGAAGACGGTAGGTGGTCACTGCCTCCGTGCGAGGGGGGAAGACAGACACCCCCCAGCCCCCCACTGCAGAGTCCTTTCCAAGTTCGTAACAGCGTTTGCTCTTGACTTTCTGGTGCCTTTTTTCTGCTTTTAGACCTCGGAGACTGATCCAGGGAGCGCAACTTCTCCGTCTTTGCAGAAGGAGCTTTTGCGATATCGTGACATGGTAGGTCGGGAGCCGAGTCTCAGGGCTTCTTCCGGAGTGGGGGGACTGCTCTGCTGGGGCTACTTTGCTGGGGGTGAAGGGGGAAAATGGGGGCTGGATTCCTGCACCTGGTAAATAAGCTGCGGCCCAAGGCTTCCGGTCTTGAGCCACCTGCAGATGCAAACCCGAAAAGCAATTCGTAAGAACAAGGCCCTTAAAAAGAAAAAGAAAAAGAAGAAAGAGCGTGGGGGGGGGATCGGCTCCAAGGAGACCTCGTTTAGGGCCACCGCATGCCTGAACCCGGCCCTGAGCAGGAGGTTGCGATGAGAGGAATCAAGGAGAAGAATGAGATTCTGGAGATGAACGTTGCTGAATTTAGTAAGGAGAGGAGCTAGGATTCTAGGACAGAGACCTGCCATGTTAAGCACAGAGTTTGGAAACCTGGCTTTTTTTGGAGTAGAGAACCTGCTTGGGAGGGATGCTGGGCTCTGTAGTCCAAAAAAGCCACCTTTCCAAGCTCTGGGGTTTGGGTGTCGCCTGGAGGCAGAGACATGCCCACCTCCCTTTCTCGTAATACGGCAGGCCTTGCCAGTCACACAGGTGGGCAGGAGACAGAGACCAGCAGAAGCCCCTCACACCGGGCAGAACGGAACCTGGGGAACTCCCTTCCACAGGATGGTGTGATGGCTCGTTGGTTAGAAGAGTCCATAGAGGAGGAGAGCTCTCCTCATGGCTAGGAGGACCTCCTCGAGATTTCGGGGCAGGAGAGCATACTCAGGGTGGGGGTGGAGGATTTGGGGAGGGGGCTTCCCAGAAATATCAGCTTTGCTTCTGCAAACAGAGTGCCAAGAGGGGGGGAGGATTCTGGGAAGAGGCAATGAGTCAAGACAGACCCTAGCCTCCCCTTCGGCCAGATTTCAACGGGGAGCCCAGTCTACCCAGTTCTTTCACATGACAGTGGGCAGGATTTGACCCCGTAGGTGCCTCCCGTATTTGGGCAGCTTCCGTGGTACGACGCGTTATGTGCCACCCAGTCACGTCCAACGTTACGGCGAGCCTTAACGGTGCTTTCGTGGCGTGGGCGATACTTAAGAAGTCGTTCTACCCCTTCTCCTCCTCCTTGAGTCTCTTTGGCCAAGTAGAGATTTGAACCCAGTTCTCCTGGGTCCCTGTCCTTCCTTCTGTCCACCACCCCGCGTTGGATCTCATCCGTGGCGCCAGGCTCTCGGAAGCGAAGGAGGAGGGGAGCCTGCGAGCCTTAACGGTGCTTTCGTGGCGTGGGCGATACTTAAGAAGTCGTTCTACCCCTTCTCCTCCTCCTTGAGTCTCTTTGGCCAAGTAGAGATTTGAACCCAGTTCTCCTGGGTCCCTGTCCTTCCTTCTGTCCACCACCCCGCGTTGGATCTCATCCGTGGCGCCAGGCTCTCGGAAGCGAAGGAGGAGGGGAGCCTGCCCACGGGTAGCCTCCTTGAGTCTCTTTGGCCAAGCAGAGATTCGAACCCAGTTCTCTTGGGTCCCCGTCCTTCCTTCTGTCCACCAGCCCGCATTGGCTCTCATCCGTGGCGCCAGGCCCTCGGAAGCGAAGGAGGAGGGGAGCCTGCCCACGGGTAGCACAAGCCTGCTGACCACCGACACTTCTCTCCCTGCAGGTGGAGGAGTGGGAGTGCCGCCAGCTGCAGGAAACCGTCCGCCTGGACAGCCTCCCCAGGGATCCAGCTCCTTATCGCCTCCTGGAGAAGGAAACCCTATACCAGGTCAGTCCACCAACGTCCCTTCTGCAAAATGGAGTGGGGACGTAGCCCCACAGGCGTGCCCCTCTCCCAGTCCCCAAACAGCTGTCTTCTTGGGGAATAATAATGATATAATGATAATAATGCTAATAATAGTCTGAGAATGGCGGAGCTGGAAGGGACCCTCTGGAAGATGGAGTCCAGCCCTGGTTAAGGACAGCCTTGGGATCAAACTCCCAACCTGTGGCTCTGCAGCCAGAGATCATCTAGGCCACCGAGCTACCCAGCAGGGGACTGGGTTTGTAGGATCTGGTGCCCGCCTCGAACCCACCACGGAGGGCTGGGCCCCCACAGGTGCCTCTTAGGACTCATGGCCATTGCTTATCCACAGAGTCCGGAGCCCTTCCACGGTTGGTCTGCAAACCCCCAGAGACTGGGCGCGCTGGGGGAGGTCGGGTGGCTATCATGACAATCATCCTCTTTCTGGGCTCTGGGAGGAGACAATGGCCTCACCTGCCAAAAATGGGAGTTTTCTGCAGCATGTGAGAAGGCGGAAGATGCGCCACTGAGAAAAGACCAGGCAGGCCTCCCGGGGTGACGGCGCTGTACGGATGCAGATCTGGAGCGACCTTGTTTGCAGAGCCCACCGTTTTGCTTCTTCCTCTCCCCTCCGCAGTGCTACGACCTCTTTCACCTCCTCCGTCTCCGGACGGCCTATGTGACCAACCATCGGGGCCAGCTGGTGGGCGTGGTGGCTCTCAAGGAGGTGAGTCTTCCTTCTCGGTCTTGAAGGGGTGCAGCAGGGGCCCGGGCATCCTGTGGGGTGCCCGGCATCAACGGGCCAGAAGGGCATTCTCCAGGTGCTTCCCCTCATTTCTTGGGCAAATTGCCCGCCTTCCCTTTTCTTGCTGAGCTAATAAGCTGCAAATTCCATCGTTGTCGGTCTCCACTCCTGCAAGTCCCTTTCCAAAATCACACGTGCTGCACAAAGTTATATCTTCTGGTTAATTTAAAAAGTGGTCTTTGAAAGTCATTACTAGGTTATTATGATTATTACCCTGTTTTCCCGAAAATAAGTCCTAACCTGAAAATAAGCCCTGGTAGGATTTTTCAGGCTGCTCGTCGTAGAAGCCCTAGGCCAAAAATAAGCCCCAGTGAAGTGAAACCCCCGCCCTCCGCCCTTGTGCAGCAGCCAGATGACAACATGACTGTAAAATAAAACATCCCCTGAAAACAAGCCCTAATGCATTTTTTGGAACAAACATTAATGTAAGCCCCTGTCTTATTTTGGGGGATACACGGTATTATTATTTTAAAGGGACATATATTGAGAGAAATTTTCAGCGGGAATTTCTCTGGTTTTATGCTTATCCTAAAGGATTGTATTGTATTTTAGCAACACAAAATCCATAAGTTGCCTTTATGGGTGCTGGAGCAGGGGGGTGACAAGGGATGACGGCATTTCCAGAGGCCACCCCGAGGAACAGAAGTGGATTATGAATAAAAAGCAGAGCTTGGCGATGCTGCGTTCCTGGGACCGCGATCCCCAGGAGATCCCAGCCAGCCTTGCTCTGGGGTCGCAGCCCCTGGTGAAGCTCTGCTTTTGTGAACTTCCAGGAGAGTAAGGCCCAGTTATTCGCCAGGCATTCCTCGCAGGGTGCGGTGTCTAACTTCCACCTGGGAAGGGGATCGGCCTACTGGATCATGGCCAGAGAAGGGCCACCGAGAAGGCCCAGAGGTTGACGGAGGTTGTTTCACTTAATAAACACGGTAATAGGAGGCGGTCTGGGCGCCATCTTCAAATAAATATCCAAAGGGAGCGGAAGCCAGTTGTCTTCTGCACTAGACTGAGGTTGGGATGCCAACCAGTGGATCCCAGTTAGAAGAAAGGAGGCCCCCAGCTCAACATTAGAAAAAAAGCATGTTGGTGATCAAAGCTACGCCGGAGGGCAACAGGTCTCCTCAGAGGGGAGCGGACGCCTTCCTTGGAGATTTTAGAGCAGAGGCGAGCCATCCTGTGCACGTGGGCTGCGAATTCCTTCACTGGCTGCGGGGTGAGACTAGATGACCCCCAGGGGATCCCATGCCGTTCTGTAATCCATGGGGTTCTGCTCTGGTCTCTCTGCCTCAGCTCAAGGCGGCCATCGAAGTGTGCGTCAGCGGCACCTTAACCACCAAATCCCAACATCAGTCACGCGAGCTGGGAATCCGGGAACGGAAGCCATCGGAGGAGGTGGAACTCACAAGCCCCCCAGCATAAAGTGGGATGGAGGGGGGGGCAGGCCGTCAGGAGCAACCCCCCCAAAAAAAACCTCCCTGAAAGTCTGTGCAACCTCTTGTCGCGTGGCGTGACTCTTCACCCGCCCAGCCTTGCCCCCGACGGACAACAGACGATGCCTGAAGGGTGAAATAGGGTGGGAGACGGAGGCTGCTGCAAGAAAGAATCACCAGAAAGGGGCAGATGATCGACCAACGAGGGGAAGGAGAAGCATTTGGGAAAACGCAAAGGATGGGAGTTTTCAGGGAACGTGACAGAGACAGCCTCCAAACCTCCCCGTTTTTTGTTTAGTATTTTTGAGGACAAAAAACGGTCTCCTGATGCCATCTAGATAGTGTGAGGGACTACTTACTCCCCAGCACCCTCTGGCCGATGCTCCCTGCCAAAGTTTAAATTTAAAAGAATTCACCACTAGAGGGCGAAAGGGGGACTTTCCCAGTACTAAAAAAAATGTATAATTTCTAAATATAAAGGGGAAAATGGGAGTCTGGGAAGGAAATAAAGCTCTCCAAGGTTCAGAAAAAATGGTGATGGATGGCTCTCTAGAAGCCTGGAAGTCATTCACCTGTGATGGAGAGGGTTGTATGGCTGTAATACAGGGAGTGGTACCGCCCAGAGTGGTAAAATATACCAGATAGGCGGGATATAAATCGAACAAATAAATATATAAAATAAAATAAATTTTTGTAATGGGTTCAGCCTCGTGGCACAGGGGTTAAACTGCAATACTGCAGCCAAGACTCTTGCTCACCACCTGAGTGTGATCCCCACAGGATCAGGTCACCGGCTCAAGGTTTGCTCAGCCTTCCATCCTTCCGAGGCAGGTAAACTGAGTAGCCAGCTTGTGGGATGTGTGTGTGTGTGTGTGTGTGTGTGTGCGTGCGTGCGTGCGTGCGTGCGTGTGTGTGTGCGGGGTGAAATATGAAGCTCACATAATTAAATTGTAAACCACCCAGAGAGTTTTAAGCACTATGGGGTGGTATATAAGCAGCATGCTTTGCTTTGCTTTGCCATAGAAGTCTCTGCCTGCCACCACCTTTTGGCCAGCTTGCAAATTTAAATGGGTAGCGATGGACTGGGGGGGGTCTAGTTTCATAAAACCGGGAATTCCTGAGGGTTCCTACAGCCTGGTTCATATATCTGCGGATTGCTGCTGATGTGGGGAGCGAGAACAGCAGCAACCATAGGGCAGAACTCTTCCTCCCCCCCCCATATCAAGGGGTTCTTCTTCCCTTGAATTCAAAAGGAGGGGCATCATCAGGTCCCCTGCAGACGGAGAAAAGTGGAAGGGAATCAAATGGCATCAGGAAGGAAAAACATTGTCATTGGAGGGAAAACGCCTTAAAATGAGGAAAAATTGTTCTTATGTTTTAGAGCGTTGATATAGTTTCCTTTGCTCACTGAGATATGAGTGATGGGAAGGAAATATGAGTACAGGAGGAAGAAAAAAACCCTGTAAAGTTTTCTTTTTCGGGAGGCGGGAGTGGGTGATATCTGAAGGTGTTCCGGGGGGTGAATTATGCAGACACTGCTTTTGCTTCTACCCAGTTTAAGCATCATCCCATGAACAAGGACGATGGGAACTGTAGTTCAGGAGCTGCTTGAGAGTTTCCTCCCCAAAGTATTTTTTTTTTCACCTGCAAAAAGAACCGGCGTTCCCAAGTTCCTTCTGGAAGAGAGGAGGAGGACAGTTCTTTTTTAAAAAAAAACCAAACAAACCCGACACTTTATTATTTTTCAACACCAACAAAAGTTAAACCATGAAAGGAAGACCCTTCAGTCCATCCAGCGAATAAAGAGAACCGCCCAGGTTAGGTTTATAAAATGGCACAAGGGGGGGGGGTTCATGAGATGATGAGAGTGACCGTGAAGAGGGGCCACCCACGTCCAGGAAGACCCCAGGGCAGTGGGGAAGCCCCCTCCCCACAGGGTCTCCTCCGGTTGAGACCCAGGACCTCCAAGGAAGGATGATGCCTACGGCTGAGCCCATCTTGTCCTCTGCAGAGCCCCCCCTCTCCCTCTCTGCTGTGGGGAGACAGGGCTTTGGTGTGATCGGGACCCACGGGGGCTCTCCTGGAGTCCTGGGGGGGGGGGAGCTGGTCCAGGCTGATGTGGAGAGTGGGGGGGGCGCTTCGTCCGTCGCCACAGGACGGGGTGGGACTCACTGTGCAGGAGGGGGCGGTAGCATCCAGCGGAGGGGGGGAGGCGTTTCTGTGGAAGGGGAGCAGGGGTGGGGAGTAAGCAGCCAAAGGTATCTCTGCAGGGTGGGGAGCCGTGGGATGAAAGGGTCCATGTTGGGGGGGGGGTCTTGGGGGGGGACATGCCAAGGGGACCGGCGTCCTTTCAGGGGCACTTCCTCTCCACGCACTGTTTCCCCCCTTCCTCATATTCCTGCTTGGAGATCCACATCTGCTGGAAGGTGCCCTGGGGGGGGAGAGAGAGAGAAGGGGGGAAAGAGAAAAACAAGACCAGAAGGAGGGGGGAGGCTCCTGCCTGCCCTCCCCCCAACCCGACCCTGGCACTAACCCTTTGACGGCACTGCCCTCACTGCCCTCGTCAGCGGTCCTCCGGAACCCAGCCCTTGTGCCTGATTTGCACCCCAGACCCTAACTTCTTTTGCTTTTTAAAAAAAGGAAAAGAAAATGAGAGGTTTTTTGGGGGGGGGACTCCTGTTTTCTTTTGCTTATTTTTTTAAAAAGGAGGAGGGAGCTTGGCTGACTGGCTGGCTGGTTGGGGGATTTTGGGAGTTGTAGTCCATCCCCCCTCCCCCAAAAAGGGGAAGCCCTGGGGGGGGTCACCTCTTGCCCCTTGCCAAAGGCACCCCCATCCCCTCCTTTTGGCTCATCTCAGACCCCCCCACTGCCTTTGGGGCCCCCCATGCCCCCCAATCCCTCTCTTTCTAGCCCAGGCGCCTGACTCACGAGCGAAGCCAAAATGGAGCCCCCGATCCAGGGGCTGAATCTCCTCTCCATGGTGCTGTTGCTGGCGATGAGCTTCAGGCGCATGCTCTGAGGAAGGAGGAGAAGAGGGCGAAAGGGTTACCGGGGCCTCGGGGTGGTCGTGGTTGGGGGGGGTGACCCTCGTGAGGAACCCATGTGTACACCCCACCCCACAAACGCAAGAAACGTCATTGGCACGTGGTTTCCCTCGATTGCACATCAGTCCCTCGACCTTCTGCATCTTCAATCCATGGGGAAATCTTCTGGTACAGAGAGGTCAAGCTTTTCAAATACAGTTTGCAAATAAGAATAACAACAACAGAAGAAGAGGAAGAAGAAAGGAACCAGGGCACCAAAACCGCCCTTCCCGTGACTTTAAAAAAGAGCTCCTCACAAGAAGACCTGGGCTCTCAACCAGCAGTGTTTCAAAGCCTTGTCACACAAGGGAAATCTTCCCATAAGGGCTGGCCGGAAATCGGAAGAATCCCAATCTGGGGAACGCTGGGAGGGCTCGCCTCACCTCTGGCCCTTGAAGAGGAGTTGCCTTCCTTTGGAATGGCCTAGCAAAGATCTCGCCGGCGGAGACCCATAACGCTGGGGAAGGTTGAAGGCAGTGAGGAAAGAGGAAAGCCCCATACGAGGTGGACAGACGCTTTAAAGGAAGCCGCAACCAGCAGGACGTTTTGGAAGTCACGAATCCGCAGGGTTTTTCCCTAAGTCTGAAGCAACTTAAATGGGGCATCAAAAGGCAACAGCAGCAAAAATCAAGTTGACACCTGCCCCCCCCCCACAACTCCATTGTGAACTATGTCGTCTGAAGAAGGGACCTGTGAGACCTCGAAGCTGCACCCTGTATTTTAGATATTGGCCGGCGCTGCTACGGCCACACAAGGTAGGCACACACTCACCGGCGGCGTCTTCTGAGAGAGTTCCCGGTTGAGGCGGTCCGTGAAGCCTTGCAAGAGGGTGTTTCCGCCTGTGACGATGACGCTGCCGTACAGACCCTGCAGCAACCGGAAAAGAAAAGAGGTCTGAGAAGCGCATCAAGGGGGCAGTTCTGGCTCTGGTCTTTGTCCTTGACTCTCCCTCCCTCCCTGAGCATCCTTGCCGCACTGCCATGCGTCTCAGAGACCTTCCTGCTACAAGGATGCTTCGTTGAAATGCTGCCCAAAACAGGCCAAAATACTTCTTAAAGAGGGACCTTTTTTTTTCAGTGAGAAAATGTGGAAGCTTCCGAGCGGCACAGAAGTCTGCTTCAGGGAACTGTAGGTGTGATACGTTTGGTGGGAGCCTGCCTGAGTTTTGCATAGCCCAGGGTGACACGGGAGTTCTTGGCTGCCTGGAGGCCGCCTCCTGCCCTGCCAGGTGGCAGAAAAGCCGCCGGGGCTCCCATCTCCCTGGCATCTTCTGACTCTGTGCAAAAGTGCCGAGGAGCCTCAACCAGACCTTTCCAAGGCAGCCCTTCTGCATCACCCACCCCACCCCCGGCTAGTGATTTATCTGGGCCCTGGGTTAGGGGGGTGCAGGGGGTCAAGGGAGGAACCGGTGGCTCTGCCGCCGGGCGACTCACAGGACGGATGTCAATGTCACACATCCCAATGCTGGTGGTGACCACGTGACCGACGCCCAGCATGGTGTTTCCGGAGAGGCCCTAGATGCAGCGAGAGGCAGGGTGGGAAGCACAATTTAAAAAAAGAAAAATTAGCCCTGGGGTGTAGTGGCTAGCGTCAGTGACACCTCGTGACCAGGAAGAGCCTCCAGAAAGTTTGGGGGGGCAAGCCATCTTCTCCCGGCCCCCAAATCCCCTCCCACATGGGTGTGCTGGACTCGGCCTCAGGAGACTTGGGCTCCGGTGGCCAACTAAACTCTAGGCCAGGTTCGGGACGATTCTTCTGGCTTCTGAGGGCCAACTTTGGCTATTTTTGATGGAATTTACTGTGTTCTGCAGTTAGTTTTACTGTGCTTGTTATTTCCACACCACTCAGATTTCTTTAGAAATGGAAAGCAGGATGGAAAGGTTCTGCAAAAAGAAAGTAGAGACGTTTAAACTGCACACACACCGACCCTGAATTACTGTTGGAGGTGACAGATTTGAAGATGTGGACTTCTAAGGAATCCCACATTTAAGTACGGAAGACCAGTTGATCATCCATCAAATCCAGCTGCTTTGCATATTCCTTGAAGACACCTGATGGGCTCCTTAGTTAAAGACCGACTTCTTTTCATCCTAACAATAATGTGTGGTCAAGTTGATTTTGTCTCCTGGCAACCCTTCCCAAGGGCAGAGAATACACAGAAGTGGGTCTTCCACTCCCTTCTTCTGGGGTGCCCTGGGGGGACTGGGCAACTTGCCCAAGGCTACACAGGCTGGCCCTTCTCCCTGGAGGCCCCATGGAGCACCAACCCCCCAGCCACTGGCTCTGTGGCCAGAATGTCCAAACCATTGAGCGCTCCAGCCAGCTCTTCTAATCACAGGGTACCTCTAATGTCTGTCTTTATCTTCAGAGTCCCTCGGCAGGCTTGCCTGTAAGGTCTACTTTGGCCCAGACTCTAACTATAGGCATCCTTCAGTCTCGAGAGACTATGGTAACATGTTCTGAATCGAGAAGTGTCCTCTCCAGAGCATGAAGCCCAGGTAAGGTAATATGAAGGATAGGCTGTTACCCAAGCAGCAGATCCCCCCTCCCCATGTTGCTGAAATGGTCCAATGGAAAGGCAAGAGCCAATACAACTGGTTCCAGCAACGTCGCAGGAGTTGGCAGAACGACACATGCTGCCTTTGGGACTCCAGCTCCGGATTTTGCCTCGAGGTTAACTCCTGAAGCCTTTTCCACAAGTGGATATAGCCACAAGGCAGTGGGGGTTTGAAATCGGCGTTTTCCTTCTCCTAGATGGGCTGCCTTCCAAGGCTGACGGTGAGCCCCACCTACCCGGGACCCAGACTACCCAGGCAGGTATCACCATGATAAGGTTGCATGTAAACAAACTCAGGTTGTGCACATGCATACGACAACGGCCGAAAGAGCAGCCCACAAACGCCGTCTGCTTTTGGGGGGGGTCTCCCTCCCTCCGTGTGCCTGCCCCCTTGCCTGCCCAACCTTCAGCCCCACTGACCTTCACATTGGAGGGATCAAAGAGGCCCTCCGGGATTCGGAGCCGCTCCGCCCCATAATCTGTATTATAACCGTTGGGCATTTCATAGTGGACGGTCGGCATCTGGGCGGCTACCCTGTTCCACACAAAGAGAGAGGGGAGAAGGTGGGGAAACGGAGAAGGTGCTGGGAGGGCACCCAGCACCACCCGGGGGAGCAAGAAAAGTCTCTCCGCCTGACCTCTCCCAGCCACACCCCAGCTTAGGAGGAATCTGTGTTTTTTTGGAAGATTGTGTGTGGATTGGCCAGCTGAGCTGTCAGGTTCGAGGTTCTACTAAAAGCCAAGAATTTCTTGCCCCCTGATAAAGTTTTCCCTGAGGGCAACTGCAGGAGCAGGGAGGATTGATCAGCGTAAACGTTCTGCCTTCAGAGCTTGGGAAATTCACCATATTTTTTCTGTGTATAAGACGCCTCCATGTATAAGACACCCCCACTTTTCTAATCCAAAATTAAGAAATCTAAGTGGGGCTTAGCAAGTGTAGGTGGGAAGGGATCAAAGCACTGCAAGATTGCTTTGATCCCTGCTTTTCCCTCCACGTTTTTATGTTCTCTCTTCAGCTTACTTCTGTGTATAAGACGACCCTCAATTTTAGTCTAAAGATTTTAGACAAAAGTGTAGTCTTATACATGGAAAAATATGGTACTTCTTTTGATAACTGAAGGATTTGGAGCTCCTTCTGCCACTCTGGGGAAGGTGAGCTCCTAGCATCACCATCCACGTGTGAGTCTTTCTGGTGCCACGGCCATGGGAATCGGTCTCGCTCTTCTGGCTAAGCCTTTCCTTCCTCTCCCCCACAGAGCATCAGAAGGTGAAACGCAAGATCCTGTCAGGAGGCAAAGCTATTTCTGTCCCGGGGCAGCCAAAGTCACCTCCTCTCTGACCCCCAAAAGCATCCGCCAGTTGGGCTGTCCTTCGTCCACCTTCAGAGCCAAAGCTGGCATCGATATGCCCAGACCGGTGGCTCCACACTCTGTTTAATCATCAGTTTCTCTTTCCTTGTAATGATGGAAAGGCTGACTCCCCAAAATGAAATTCTTCTCCTCTCCCTGTTCTGTTCCCACCAGAAACTGGGTATTAACAAACCCCCCACCTCACTTTCCCACATTGCTTTCTTTTGCATTTTTCAAACACTGAGCAAGCCATATGTGTTGTTTTTTTTTTACAGATTCATTTAAAACCTCAGTCATAACAATCCTATTCCATCAAGTCAGTTCTGACTGAGGGCAGGCCTTTTCAGGGTTTTCCAAGTAGAGAGAGACAAGGTTTCCGGTTCCCTTCTTCTGGTGGGGGTTCTGGGACCACCGGCGTGCAGCTTTGGCCACCCAGGCTGGCTCTACTCCCAGGAGGCCCAGTGGGGGGAATCAAACTCCCAACCTCTGGCTCCACAGAGCTTTCCCATCCGCTTGTTTCTGTACTCTCTTCAGCTTACTTCCGTGTATAAGACGACCCTCAATTTTTAGTCTAAAGATTTTAGACACAAGTATAGTCTTATACATGGAAAAATACGGTAGTTTTTGGCTTAAAAATCTGAATGCTGGCCACAACAGGTCTGTAGTGGGAAAACACCCCCTCTCTCTCCTCTTTCCTGCAGCATCGCTTCTACACACAACCGATCAAGAGAGAACAGCAGGACTAAGGCTAGGCATTTGGGGAGTGCTAACCAGAATGGACCACATTTTGGGGGCGGAGGGGGCAAAGGATTCCTTCCAGGCTTTGCTCTGTTCCATAGAATTGATATTTTAACCGACCGCTCTTTCGTTCTCTCCAAGAAGGGATTTATCGGAAACCCCTCAACGGCATTGGGAGGAGGAACTGGATCCTCCAGGACATCCTTCCAGGTTCAAACCTCCTTGGCTCCCACTGTCCCCACTCCACCCCATCCGCCAGGGACCGAAACCAGCCCCGCCACTCACTGTTCATCGTACGGAGAGTCTGAAACTTGCAAGACCGAGGCCTGGAAATCCTGTATGACCTCCTGGTGGCGCCGGGTGGGAGACGGGGGGGGTGTCGGAGGGAAGAAAACAGCCGTCAGTCCCCAGGTCAGCTGGCCTGCCCGCTCTGGGTCTTGTTCCAGATCTATGGAACTCACACCCATCCAGCCCCCCCTTCTGCTCCCCAGATAACAAGGAAGGCTCCAGTTCCCAAGGACCAAAAGGACCAAAAGGCATTTCCCTCTGCTAAAGAGACAGGGCACCCCAAACCCTCTTCCCCCCCATCCAGTGGGGTCTGGATGACAACATCCAGAATCCCCTAGGCAGCAAGGTTGGTTCCAGCATTCTGGGGAGTGTAGTCTAAAGAGTAAAAAGCCCAGGCTTCCAGAATCAAAAACCAGCCACAAGCTCATCATCCTGCCTCCCCTCCATCCGCCCAAGGGGATCTAGATGTCTTTGCTCCCCCCTTTTCCTTTTGTCTGATATCTTCTGATTTCCCCCCTGCCGCCCCCAAAAGAGCTCCGAAGCACCCCACGAGGTCTCACGTTACAGGTATAGGTGTGCCACGATTTGCTGACTTGGGGCAGCTTCTCTTTCTTTTTCCAGTTTGGGGGGGCCCCTTCACGGACCGCCTCCTAGATGCCGGGGGGGGGGGAGAGAGAGCAAAGGAGAAAATCACATGGTAGGAGAAACAGGCATGACCCTGAGCCCAGCAGAACTGTTTTGTGTCCGTTGTGCATCTTAAAGGCCATGCAGCTGCTTTCCGGGGGCCCTCCCTCCTTCTTTCCCTGCTCCAGCCTTTTCCTCTTCGCAAATGACAACCCTCCCCCTCTCGCAACTCTAGTTTTCAAGCTAGAGATATCTTAAGGAGTGTTTTTTCCCAATTCCACTCCCCTAGTGAGTTTCCATGTCTAAAGGGGGATTCGAACCCCAGGCCTCCTGAGTGCTAGTCTGTCACTTTGTCCATTCCATCACGGTGGGTACCACAAACTCTCTCTCTCTCTCTCTCTCTCTCTCTCTCTCTCTCTCTCTCACTCACACACACACACACACACACACACACACCCCGGAAAAGCCATCCATCCCTTCCTTAGGGTTGAATCTTTTGCCCAAATCCTCGTATCTGCTTTTGCTTGCCTAAGTAAAGGGAGAGGGCAATCTTATGTCAGGCCATCTTTGGGAAGATGGAGACCTTTGAGTTACACAGAACCCTTTATCAGACGAATTCGCCATGAAAGCTCATGGTGGCGTAGGCTTAAAAGTGCCCCATGACCGGTGAGAGTGTAAACCAACTGGGTCTCGTAACACAACGTTTCTTTTTCATCACCAAGGGATACTTCACCTGGACCTTAATTCGATGATTCTGGCATTTCTTTAACATTTCGTAGTGGCTAGCTAACCCCTAGCTAACCCCTGGTGTCTGCTCCAGTAAGCACTGAGTCTCAGAGGTTCTCGTCCCTTCCCACCCTCTGGTACCCGAGTTCCTTTTTAATGGGTGATGGGGCAGGAAAGAGAACTGTTTTGTGTCTGTTGTGCGTCTTAAAGGCCATGCAGCTGCTTTCCGGGAGCCCTCCCTCCTTCTTTCCCTGCTCCAGCCCATGACGGAATGGGAAAGGGCCAATACCACCTTGGCTGCAATCATGTAGGGTGGAATGATCTCGATGTTCATCTCTTGGAAGAGTTCACGGCACTGCATAGATATGAAGTCTCCAGCTAGAGGTGATTTCACAATTCCTGAAAGCCAAACATGGGGTGGAAGCAAATAGAGGAGTCGATAGGTGTGGGTACCGGTTCTAAACTATAGTCTCTCTGCCTCTGCCCTCCCACAAGCCACCCACCCACCCAGCCTGCAGAGCACACAATTCCCACTGCCAGATGCATATTGAAGCTATGTCATCCACCACTGTGGGCTCCTAACTACAAAAACTAGCTGCCTAGAAATGCCAAGAAATGGCAACACGTCCAGCCCAAAATCATTTGGCCTTTTGGAGGAATGCACGGCAGAGCACAGGGGACGTCGGCATGACTCCAGACTCATGGAAAACAGCGAGCTCTACACGCTACGCAAAAGAACCGGCTGGCTGGAAGGTCAGGGCTGAGAACATCGGTGATTCTACTCAAGGTGAACAATGCCCTTTCTCTCTCGACGAGTCGGTGCTGTTCAAGGGGCTTCAAGGGGCTCTAACTAAGTCCCCCAAACGGAGGCAGTCACGGTCCTGAGTTCAAAACACGGCTCATCCCAGAGGTGGAAGGGTCATCCAGGCCATCCGGTGACCACGCTTGCCAATGCGATGCCACCAATAGGACTCAGCTCACTCCCTGGGAAGGCAGAAATCCCAGGCCTACCTTGCTGCAGGATGTAACCGTCGTGAACTGGGATGGCCGTGGTATGAGTCGCGCCACTGTCCAGGACGAGCCCCGTACTGCGCCCGTTGGCAAAGCTGGAGGGCCAAAGTCAAGGCTTCAGCTAAGCAGCAGAAGGTGGGGGTCAGGAGGGGAGGGCCCTTTTTTTTTTGCACCCTTCCTTCCTTTCCTTCCTTCCTTCCTTTCCTTCCTTCCTTCCTTGTTTCTCCCTATCTTCTGTGTGTGTGTGTGTGTGTGTGTGTGTGTGTGTGTGTGTGTGTGTGTGTGTGTGTGTGTGTGTGTGTGTGTAACTAACTCCAGGGAGTTTTAAAAAAGGCTTTCATGTTTGGCTGTGCAAGCGTATCAGGCAGGAAACCAAACCGAACAATACTGTGGTCTTATTTTTTCTTTTGTTTCTCCTTTGTTTTCTTTCTTGCCTGATAGAACTACAAATAGTCATTAGAATTCACTGCCACAGGAAATTTTGCAACAGTAAATAAATGTTAATAGAAATACTAGTGGGAGAGAAGTAGCAAACTTCCTTCCTTCCTTCCTTCCTTCCTTCCTTCTTTCTTTGCGGTCCTGAGTTCAAAACACGGCTCATCCCAGAGGTGGAAGGGTCATCCAGGCCATCCGGTGACCACGCTTGCCAATGCGATGCCACCAATAGGACTCAGCTCACTCCCTGGGAAGGCAGAAATCCCAGGCCTACCTTGCTGCAGGATGTAACCGTCGTGAACTGGGATGGCTGTGGTATGAGTCGCGCCACTGTCCAGGACGAGCCCCGTACTGCGCCCGTTGGCAAAGCTGGAGGGCCAAAGTCAAGGCTTCAGCTAAGCAGCAGAAGGTGGGGGTCAGGAGGGGAGGGCCCTTTTTTTTTTGCACCCTTCCTTCCTTTCCTTCCTTCCTTCCTTTCCTTCCTTCCTTCCTTGTTTCTCCCTATCTTCCTTCCTTCCTTCTCCCTATCTTGATTCCTTCCTTCCTTCTCTCTATCTTCCTTCCTTCCTTCGTTCTCCCTATCTTCCCTCCTTGTTTCTCCCTATCTTGATTCCTCCCTCCCTCCCTCCCTCTTTTCTTTCAAACAGTATCCAATAATAAAAAGTTATCCAGGCAGTTCACAAGCTCCCCACACCCATTTCTACTTTCCAGCAGGAAAAGGATACGCCGTGAGCACGGCGGTTTTGCAGAGAAAGAAAGCCGGGATGCTGTAATGTTCGAACATGAGCTCCGTCAGCTTCTCCCGCTTGGCCCGTGTGTTCCACTGCAAGACCAGGGTGGCCGTGGTGAGCCACAGAGAGGCCGTGGCAGCGGGACCAAGTACATACATTGGGAAAGGGAGAGAAGCGCTTGGGGAGAGGGGAGAGGGGGACAGGGCAGGATACCTACTGGGGCTTCGGACATGAGCACTGGGTGCAAGTTTGGCTCCGATTTGATATGCTTGTTGTAGGTGTGGTCCAGAATGGCCTGGAAGCAGCTCCAGTCCTCAACTGGCACGGGAAGGAGAGCATCCATGCGGTCAGGAAAGAAAGAGAGAGTCAGCAAGAAGGAGGCAGGTCCCCCAGCCAGACCTCATGCCCCTTGAGCCAGGTTCCCCTCGCTGGAAGGTCGGTCTTCCATCAAGATTGCCCATTGAATGGGATGTTTTAGCAGCACAGGCAATGGGGGTGTGTGGTGCAACAGCGACACCTCCTGAGTCCTGGAAGTTAACGGAATCATCACACAATGCACTTCAATGCACATTGGCGATGCTCCATTAACTCCACAGCACTAGGGACAGAGAGGCCATGGCTTGATGGGGCTTGGGAAAGGACTGAGGGCCAGGAGGAAACCCGTGGCTGAGAGAGACTGGGGCTACAGCACAGAAAAGCAAAAGGAAACCACATCGGGAGTTGCATCCCTTGCACATCTATGTAACTGTCAAGGCTCCCTTCCAGAAACCGGAGGTGACCCCAGTGTTGCCACCACCTGGAGCGTTCACAGCTATCCACCCCCCACCTCCACCCCACCCCGTAGCAAATCCCCCATCTAAAGCCCCTGCCTGCCCTACACAGTATTTCGTACTCATCCCGTTCTTGAGTGGTGAGATGACCTCTGTGTTCTCCCGAGGCACGTGCAAGGAGTTGGTGTCGATGTAGTAGACCTTCCCCGACTTGTTCTCCTTGTCTCCGTCCAGCTCCATGGCCGACTCGTCATGGGACAACAAGCCCACCGTGGTGGGGAAATCGGCCTGCAAAGAGATTGTGGTTGGAAGGCATGGATGGGGTGAAAACGGGGCCGGGGGCCCTTCAGGGAAGGCTGCTACTTCAAGCCTCTTTGGGAAAAGGAAGGAAGGAAGGAAGGAAGGAAGGAAGGAAGGAAGGAGCTGATGATGGATAAGAG